TTCGCTCACAGATATCAACATGTTTAAACCTACTATAGTAGCGCTGCTATATTTCGCCTTTGTTGGTGTTATTTCAGCAAATCCCACTGGGCGTATAGTTGGAGGCATTGATGCTACTGAAGGACAGTTTGCCCATCAAATATCTTTAAGATACTCAGGCTCTCACATATGTGGTGGTTCAATAATTTCTCGAAATTATATTTTAACGGCAGGACATTGTGTGGGTGACGAAGATGAAGATGGCATCTATCATGTGTAAGTAGTAAAATATATAGTAAATTTTAAAAATCTTTCATCACTTTTTGCTTTTAGCGATGATCCGAAATACTATACTATACGTGCTGGAAGCTCAAACCGCTTATCTGGTGGTGTTGTGATTGCAGTTGAAACAATAACTGTGCATGAAAGCTATGGCAACTTCTTGAATGATGTTGCTCTACTCAAACTCTCAACTCCATTGATTTACTCAGCAAATATAAAAGCTATACCTTTAGCTAGTTCTGAAGTGACACCTGGTGAAAAAGTGATTATTTCTGGGTGGGGTCGTTTGAAAACCGGAGGTGATATTCCTCTGAAACTTCAGTGGACAACATTGGAAGCCATTAGCAAAACTAAATGCTTGACTACCATCGGTATGTTTTCGGATACTTTAATATGCTTGGCGCATGACCCCAACTTTGGCGCCTGTAATGGTGATTCTGGTGGTCCAGCTATTTACAATGGCGAATTGGTTGGAGTTGCTGGTTTTGTAGTTGGCGGTTGCGGTAGCAGAAATCCTGATGGTTATGCTAAGGTATTCTATCATGTTGAATGGATTAAAAAACACTCTGATTTGTGAACTATGTGCAGTGTACTCAGTATTTGAAAAAAAAAAACAAATAAAAGTTTGAAAAATATGTGGAATTTTTGGTAATATTTAAAATTATTCGAGTTTCCAAATGTTTTTATGCGATTCTTGGAAAAATATTTATTAAGTTTAAACAACCATTTTTATAAAGTAATGTTTAAATACTTTGAGAACGAGTGTTAGCATTAATAATTGAATTTAGAATTCTGACTTAGAATCAGAAAAAATAGAGAACTGAGCATTTTTTACGAAGAAAATTTTATTGAAGAATGTCTTCGTCTTCTTTCTTCCATCAACTCCTATTTAATGTGTGGTGTACAAATCTGGTATATTTAATATTGTAATATAGAACCTTCAAACCGTTATAAAAAACTACATCAACCACTTTGAAAAGCAATAATTTGTGAATTCTAGCAAAACAGTAGATAAGTTATCAAATAATTCAACACAACGAAACAATTAGGATATAATTCGATCACAGGTGTGAGAAATTTTTATCATTATGTATAATTTCTATTAAAATCATTTGTAGTTACTGTTCTTCTCCAAATTTTTAATGTCATGCCATGTAGATTATTGTCTTGTGGACTCTATTTGAGAGTTTGGTTGGGAGCCTAAAAGTTTAGCTTTTACTTGTCACCTACCGGCTGCCTTTGGCATCTGATTTTAGTTTCAAGTCTGGTAACGTAATATTTTTTCTTACATTATAGTTTCTTGAAAAAATTAAGGCCCTCAAACCGGTTTGAAAATCTTCGTCAATCACATTAAAATAAAAATTATTTCCAAATTCTAGTGTAACTATTTTATGGAAGTAAGTAGATAAGTTATCAATTAAGCAAAGCAAAAATAATAAGGCTTTCGGTAAGTGGGTAATAAATTCTATAAATAATAAAATAACCACAATGCGTGGTTATAAAAGGCCCCAATATTATGGTGAAGGTATTAGTGACGGCGAAGCAATAAGATTGAAATGGCGAAACTTGCTTTGTGTACATTGCTAATTATTATTTTAATAACATTTAGTTATGCTGCTCCTACCGGACGTGTTGTAGGAGGTGTAGACGCTACTACTGCGCAATTCCCACATCAGGTTTCTTTTAGATACAACGGTTCCCATAATTGTGGTGGATCGATTATAACAAGGAATTATATTCTAACTGCAGCGCATTGCGCGGGAACAACGAATGCGAATGGAACATACTATACGTAAATATATTAAAATTCTATTTTTATTATTATTGTTGTAATTATATATGAACACATATTTCTCAATAGTTACGATCCGAGCCTTTTGACAATTCGAGCGGGAAGCAACGATCGTTTAAGTGGTGGCGTTTTAATTCGAGTAGCTGCGGTTGTCGCCCATGAAAGTTATGGAAATTTCTTAAATGATGTTGCTTTGCTTAAATTGGCCGACCCTTTGATTTATTCTAAAAATATACAACCGATAAACATAGCAAGTAGTGAAACACCAGCTGGTCAGGAAGTTATAATATCAGGTTGGGGACGTTTGAAACAAGGTGGAGATTTGCCACAGAAGCTACAATGGAACACTTTGACAGCTATTTCCCGCAGTGAGTGTAAGGAAAAAATTAATTGGGATAGTGACGCGTTGATCTGCTTGGGTCATGCCGCTAATAATGGTGCATGTAATGGCGACTCCGGCGGCCCAGCTATGTATAATAACGAAGTAGTCGGCATTGCTGGCTTTGTTTATGGTGGTTGTGGTACAAATAATCCTGATGGTTACGCCAAGGTCTACTATCATCGTGATTGGATAAAGAAACATTCTGACTTATAACTAAATACTTGGAAATAACACTGAGTTTATTGATTTTTTATACATATGATTATTTAAAGGTCTACATAATGAAAGAAATTTGATTAGATTACATACTATATTTTTGTTTCTTGTAGATATGAAGATTACTGAAGTAATTCAATATTTTCTAGTTAAATATGCTTGGTAAAGCAATAACACGGTTTGATTATATCAGAAAGAGTGGCAATCGAGTTTCAATTATCAGAACAATTAAAAGATAAAAATTTTGCTTAATCTAAACAAATTATTAGCATAGCACTAGCTATAAGTATATTGGTTTTTTATAACTTCGTGGATTTAGATCCAACCTATAGAAATAATGATTAGTTTTTAATTGTTTAGAGTTGCCAGACTTTGTTTTGTGAAATCAGTGGTCATAGTTTTAGAAATTAAAAATGTTGCTTTCAGGCCTTTAAAACGATACAAAAAATCTTCCGATTTTTTATTGAATAACGTCAAACACTTTTTTGAAATTGTTGTATTATTGCAATGGTGATCAGATCTACGTAAGGGTGAAATACATATGGAGAATAAGGTTTTTATAACCAACTAATGTCGCAATACCGATTCACTGATCATAGGATCTGGTCCCTAAATTTACAATATCGCATTATCGGTTTCTATTCTATTCCTGTGAAATTATTTAACTCTTTATTAAATGAGTCTTTGAAAAATTGAATGCCAACAAACACTATGATTTCAAACTTAAAGTCCTTATAGAGTGTAACAATGCACTCAATAAACTGGCCACCCATAACCAGGTCTCTCTGATTTAGGTAACCGGACATGAAGGACACGAATTCAACGAAAAGGTGGACCTATACGCCAAAAAGGGGAAAAAGAACCATTCATTGGTCCAACTCCTTTCTTTGGCTTCAATAAAATGAACATAAAACAGGAGACGAAAAAATGGATCCAACAAAGTATCAATGAATATTGGACTGGAATAGACGGCCTACATCATTCTAAAAAATTCTTGAATTTCGATACCAAAAGAGCAAACACCGCTCTTAACCTTAACAAGAAAAGTCTAAAGTAACTCTCTGGTACATAGGGGCCTTAAGCTAACCCAAAACCCTCCAATACCATTGACCATGATTTCAAACACTACGCGATTTAAAGCTATACTTAGAAATCTTGAAAATATTTTAATATATGTTAGTGATTCAGTCACTAGTATTCAGGTGATAAAAAATATTGGGATGTAACTTTGGGATGTAAATCTAAATTTGATGGTTTCATACTGCTTTTATGGCTCTCATATATCATTGTTACTACAAGTTTATAAAGTACTTTGAATGAAAGATCATTAAGAACAATTCCATTTCATTTTGTGAGTTAATTATATTAAACACAAAAACGTTTTCACGGTTGGTCTATAATTTTAAATTTTCATCTGATCATCATTGTCAACATCATTAAAACTAAACGCTATGTGAGCTCAACGCGTTACGCATGTGACACTTGTATAACTTAACCAAGTAAATAGAGCATAGACGTATTGTTCCCATTATGGAAAATGTTTTTTGTTTTTATTCTTCTCTGATCGCTGGATCATTCTTTGCTTCGACTGCATAAATAGCATTTGTATCTGCATTGTTTTGGGGTTTTTGAACTTGCTTCACTCGCGCAACTTGAATTTGGAATATTGTTTTAGATTGAAGATATTTTGTCGTCATATTATGAAATGAAAAATTTAACGTGCCGTGGAATTATTTAAAAGTAATTATAATTATTTGTTTTATTTTATTTCTTATTTTATATGTAGCTCAGTTTGTTGACAGTAAGTGAAAGTGAAATGGAACCATAAAGTACTCGTATTTTCACATTTTCACTATTTTCAATAATGAAGAAATAAATCATATAAATGTTTTAATGGCATCGAACCTTTAAATTTTCAGTATTTTGCAATAAAATACAAAAAAAAGAGAAATGCTATGAAAATAATTGCATTACGGTAAGTTCAAAATTTCCTATCTCGATACTGACAACCTATAGTTGCACTATTGTGTCTGTTTCGTCTGCATTAAATTTACTATAAATAGAGTTTTGAAAGGCCTAATAATATAGGATAGTTGTGGATTTGAAATGGATAAAAATATTTTGAATGTAATAAGAAATCGGTATTTATTTAACAGCTATATAGTAAATAATTTTATGGCATTTATTTTTTGAACATGATTTCCATATAGTCATTTACAAGGTCCATTCGTTCAATCCAATTTTTGACTATTTTTAGCAATAAATGTGGCAGTATGGCATCAATGGTGGCGTGTACATTGGCTTCCTATACTTCAAAAATTGCTGGTTGGTCAGCATAAACCAATGACTTAACATAGCCTTATAAAAAGTAATCGAGAGGCGTTAAATCACACGAATGAGGACCACTTCTGGAAATAAAGTTGTTACCAAATTGATTTCGCAATAAATTGATTGTGAGGCGTGCTGCTATTCCCTAGCTCGTGTGAATGGATTTGTGGCCACTACTAAATGGTTATAGTGACAGGTGTCAAATTCTTAAGAGTATCACAATGGACCTCATGGTCTAAGTGCGTCTTCGGACGGCCCCAGTAAGCGCACTTTATAGCAAGTTGCTCCGCGCCGTCTTGTTAACACCAAATATCGTCGATTAACTCAGCATGGTTTGATAACGCTCGGTATTCTCCATAACGGCAGACCCTTTCTCATTAAGAAAGAAATATAGACCGATGACAGCGCCAGCGTGTAAACCGCACCAAATAGTTAATGGTGATAATGGTGATTCATTAACGTATTAAGGATTATATTCGTTTCATATAGGGCAATTTTAGTTATTGACGTAGCCATTATGTTGACCGTAAAATGGACGAAGTGCTCTATGAACTTCGTAAACATAATTATTTTTTTCAAAGTAAATTTCCACAATTGGAAGTGTTGTTCTAGATTCAAACGATTCATGATGAATTGCCAAACCTTACTGAACAGAAAATATTATGATTCATTTAGATTATTATTGATCTTAAATAGTCTTGGTGTTCATATGAACTTATTATCATTCTAAGTATATACCATAGGTATTTTTATCGTGTTTAAAGTAAAATTTTAATTATTTTTCTAAAGCAAATACTATACCTAAGTGCATTAACACATTGAAGCTTAATTAAACACTTCGCAAAACTAGAATTTACAAATCGCTTTCCCAAGTCTTTCCCAGTAGAAAAAGTGGTCTTCGAAGACATTGTCTTCAAGACGGTCTTTGATACCGCGTCCGCATTTTCAAGCAAATTTGCAAAACAATTGCTCAAAACATGAATGTAAATACTCTTTCTTTGCTTTCTCTCTCATTTTTAGTATTCATAGCAACGTATATGAATTTTGCCCCAGATGACGTTATGTTGTATAAATGAAGTGACGCAATAATTTTGAAGTGTAGTAAATAAACATTTTTGTGAAATAAATATTAAAAAAATCAAAATGAATAAAGAAACAAAATCATTAAACTATGAAATATTAAAAAAAAAGAAATTAAATCAAAACAAATGAAATATTGACTTAGTTCCTGGAAAATATATTGATATTAATATTGAAGACAATAATTCCAGTAAAAGTTGTTTAAGAAACGAAACAAAGGATGTTGAAAATAAAAAAACTGAAAACACTTGTGAAATATTAGCTGTTATATTTAAAAAACACAGGATTAACAGGCGTTGTAGTAATGACATTTTAGAACTCTTAAGATCAGAAGGTTTAATTGTACCAAAATCCTCTTCAACGCTTTTGAAAACATATAAAACTTCAACAATTGATGATAGCGAAATGCTATAAATTATTTTATATTAGTTTTAGTTGATTTTAGATATGCTAAGTTATATTAAGTTAATTATTTAAATTAATTTTCATTATGTTTAATTTAATTTATTATTACTGTCTTAATAAAATTTATAATAATTTATAATAAAATTTATAATTTAGTTCTAAAACTTTTAATTTTGAATGTAATTTAAAAACTTATTATTTAAAATAAATAAAAGTACAAAATACAACAATTTCTTTCTACTTATTTAAAGAGAAAATTGAAATTTATTTAAAATTTAAAGAGCGCAATAAAAGAGTAGAAATAAAAAAAAGGGTGAAAAAATTATATGAGCACTGCACTAAGAGCGCACAACTTTCTGTCGAATGCGTCCGTTATGCAAGACATGGTCTTCGAGACGGTCTTCGAGACATGTACACAAAAATTCATTGAAGACATTTGGCTAATTTGTATGAAAGTGTCTTCGAAGACTGTCATACATTTGGATCGATCGGTCTTCATGTATGTATCCATGTCTTGAAGACGTCTTCGATGACGGATCGATCCGTTTTCTACTGGGTTATTATATTCATCTATTTGCATACTTCAATAATTTTTAGAATTGTAAAGTTAAGATTAAGTTAAGAGTAGTTTAGATTTAAAATTAATTTAAGGTAATAAACATTCTATTACATTATAATGACAAAGCAGATAGGTTTTCAATGAAGTTCGAGGCTCGATTGTAGGATCACCTTCAACAAGTGTTTATTCAGATAAAACGATTAAATTATTTACTATTTTAATTTACTATTTTAATATCAATAATAATTCGATATCATATTATTTTCTAGAACATTTTTATAAATTTTTGAAATTTTTTAAACGAGTAATTCAAATTCTGCTCATGCAATATATATTAATAAAATATATTTATGTGTATATAAAATTAAAAATAAAAGTATCTTAAAAAAATGCATAAACATTAAACGAGCTTTTTAATAACAAATATGATAATGAACTTGATCGAGAAATAGTTCAGTAATAATTTAAATAACAGAAGTAAAGTTTATAACAATCCAATGAACTGGAAAAAATTAACATATAAACATTGCAATTTTCTTACCATTAATAAAGTATTTAAAATATTTCACATAAACTAAAGATATCGATCAATTATTCATAGGTAAAATAATATTTAATAAAATTCAAATAGAATTATTCATTCATACAGGTAAGTAATCTGTTTGTTTGCCTTTAGTTTACCTTAGGTAAACTACCGTGTC